AGGACCCAGGATGCAGAGAGAAATTAGAAGAAGGGGTGTGGTAGGAGTCGGGGGGTGGGGTTGGCCCTGCCTAGCTGCTGGAGCTGACCTCTGACACCTGCCTTCCCAAGGTTTGGAGAAACCCTGCCAGGCATTAGCTTTAGCTATGAGAACATGCAGGCTCATTCCCAGTGTCACATCACTGTCTCTCTTTTCGGCTTCTTGGGCTCTACAATTTATTGGGCTTAGAAAGAGTAAAAAGGCCCCAAAGAGGCCTAGAATCTGTCCCTGTCCCTTCTGCCAGCACGGGATTACTGAGGGGAATTCCAGTTTCTTGGAGTCCATTGTTTCTAATTTCTAATAGTCAGAAAGGCACACAAGGGTCTCTTTAGAGACACTTATTTTATATATATTCATGTATTAATTTTATTTTATTATATTTTCATTTTTGCCAGGCTGGTTGCAGTTCTCCACCTTCTGTTGAGGTAGAGCATGCCTATGTCTAAAAAAAGAATAAGTAGAATGAAAGCAGAAGTTAGGACATGTTCAGTTAGTGCCAGCCAGCACTGCGTAAGAACCATTTTTTCCATATTGTTTTGGCTTTTAGCTACTTTTTTAGCTACTTGAAAAAAAACAAAACAAGAAAGAAGGAAGGAAGGAAGGAAGGAAGGAAGGAAGGAAGGAAGGAAAAAAAGAGAAGCAGAGCAGTGGTTGCCAGCATGGAGAGGTGGATGGAGGAGTGGGTCTGTTATTTTAATAGGTACCGACTTTCAGTTGTGCAAGATGAAAAGAATTTTGGATTTTGTTTACATGACAATATGAATGCATTTAGCACTGCAGGCCTATATGTTTAACAATGATTAAAATAATTTCAAATGATCTTAAAATGATTAAGATTAAGATATTAAGTTTTACCAGATGTATACCTGAATGCAATTTTTAAAAATCTCTGTGTGCACACTCAATGAGTTTGTGTGGATGCAGTGCCATGAAATTGTCTGGAGATCAGAGGGCAACCTCCAGTGTCTTTGAGACCCACCTACGTCTTTGAGACAGGATCTCTCTTGTTTAGGCTGTCCCTTGAGCTTCTAGGGATTCTCCATCTCCACTTCCTATCCTGCCACAGGAACCCTGGGATTTCAGATGTGTGCCGAGTGCCTGGCTTTATATGATTTTGGAGGATCCAAGCTGAGGTCCTCATGTTTGTGTGGCTAGTGTGTTATCCACTGAGCTATCTCCTCAGTTCTTGACTGCGTTTTTAAAAACTCTGTGTGTGTGTGTGTGTGTGTGTGTGTGTGTGTGTGTGTGTGTGAGAGAGAGAGAGAGAGAGGGAGAGAGAGGGAGAGAGAGGGAGAGAGAGTCATATATATGATTAAGTAGTCACCTGGGAAACAAGACAATATTAGAGAATGTATGTTATTTCTAGTTGAGAAAACGTAATTTTTATTTTAAAGACTTGTCTCTAATTTTCCACTATGTGTATACAAACTTAATTTGTTTAAACAGGAAAGAATAGAAGAGAGGAGTAGTTCAGGTTTCTATGACTTGGGCAGCTGTAAGAAGCAAAGAAAGGAATATGAACACAAGTCCTGGGCAGTTTTAGAAGTGAGGGAGGGTCTAAGGTCCATGTCCTTTTAGAAGCTAGAGGGAAGGAAATGTGAGATGGCCTTGTGATGGTGAGACCCAACAGCCACTTAAGACAATTCTTGATTTGTTTCTGCAGAACTTCATAAATACAGTGACAGCCAACCCAATTGGTGATCACCCAGCTGACCCACAGAGAGTGGAGCAGAGCCCATCAGAAGGAAACTGTACACGAGGTACATTCTAGATTGACTGCCAGTCTTTGGCCCCACCCCCATCCCCAGCTCCATGTTCTTCCAGTCTTCCAGTCTTGTCTTTTCTGCCATAGCTACTTATTCACCATCTTCTAAATCCAAGGTCCTATTAGTTTTGGTAGTTTCCACGCTTCCATTAATGTATTTTGAATTAATTTTATATGCTGTTTTTTATTTTACACAAGGCTATCTGGTTCCCTTTCCTTTGCTTTCTTTCTTTTTTCTGTTTTATTTTGGGAGGGATGGGATTGTAGGGGAGGGGTTGCAGGGGTGGAGGGCAGATACAAAGGGATGGGGAAATGAATGGGATCAAGATGCATGATGTGAGAGACACATAGAATAAATAGAAAGAAAGGAAAGAAGCAGCAGCAGCTGCCTCCCTTCCTTTTGGTCATGGCTTCAGCCTCCTTCCTGGAATGAATGGAACGGGTAGCAGGTACTGAGAAGGCACAGTTCCCATGGAGGTGATTCTGTGCTGGAGCCACCTATCTTGAGGACAGTCCATCTCTGCTTAGTGGTGCAGACACATGCAGAGAGCAGACAGTGGTATCTTATAGTCCTTCACTGCACAGACCTGTCACTAGGAACACTATCTGCTACTCCAGTCAGTGGAGGACCAACCTTTCTCACCCTGATAGGGATGTAGGCCTAAGGTCCCAGAAGCACTGGAAAGAGCATGGGTACCAATTTGCTACATCTTAAGTTGGTTTTCCATCATCTACCTATATAGATTGTCTGTTTGACAAATTACCTACTTTGTTGATGTACCAAGCTTCATAATGTTCTTTCCTAATCCTCTTTCTTTTTATTAGGGAAGGAGTCTTACTATTTAACCCTGGCTGTCCTGGAATGTGCTTATGTAGTAGACCAGTCTTGTTTTGAACTGTTTTTGCCTGGCCTACATAGTGAGTTCTAGGCAAGCTAGAGTGAGACCCACAACCCCAGAGAAGCTAGGGAACAAGGAGGACCCTAAGAGAGACATACATGGACCCCTGAGAAGGGTAAAGAGACAAGATCTCCTGAGTAAACTGGGAGTGTTGGGGGAGGAAGGTAGGAGAAAGAGGGAGAGGTAAGGGGAGGGGGCAAAGAACATGAGGGTTCAGGAAGGTTGAGTTGGGGGAAGAACAGAGAAGGAGAGCAAGAAAGGGGATACTTTAATAGAGGGAGCCGTTAAGGGCTTAACGAGAAACCTGGCACTAGGGAAATTCCCAGGAATCCACTAAGAATCTAAGCAATAGTGGAGAGGGTACCTTAAATGCCCTTCCCCTATAATGAAATTGTGACTACCTTAAATGCCATCCTAGAGCCTTCATCCAGTAGCTGATGGAAGTAGAAGCAGAGATTCACAGCTAAGCACTGACCCAAACTCCTGAAGTTCAGATGTAGAGAGGCAGGAGTGATGAGTAAAGGGATCAAGACAATGTGGGGGAAACCCACAGCAACAGCTGACCTGAGCAAGTGGAAGCTCAGGGACTCTAGATTGACAGCTGGGGAACCTGCATAGAACCAACCAGGTCCCCTGAACCTGGTTCAGTTGGGTGTCGGTTGGGAGGCCTGGGCAGTCTATGGGGCCTCTGGCAGTGGATCTAGTATTTATGTCTAGTGCATGAATTGGCTTTTTTGGAGCCTATTCCCTATGGAGGGATACCTTGCTCAGCCTAGATACAGGGGGAGGGCCCCAAATGATATGCCCCAAATGATATGACAGACTTTGATGATTCCCCATGGGAGGCCTCACCCTCTCTGAGGAGTGGATGGGGGGTGGGATTGAAAGAGGGTTGCGGAGAGAGGGAGGATGGGAGGGAGAGGGAACTGGGATTGGTATATAAAATAAGATTGTTTCTAATTTTAAAAATTTTAGATAATAATAAAAGAATTTTATTTAAAAAAGGAAGGAAAGAAAGAAAATGCTCCATAGTCATGTTCACAGCCAATCTGAGGAAGGCAATTTCTTAATTGCAATCCCTCTTCCCAGGTCTGTCTAATTAGGACACTGGTCTTCACAGCAGCTCTGGAAGTCCTCAAGTTTCCTTCACCATCTTTCCTTTCCTCCTCAGGCTACTACCTGCCAGTTGAGAACAGTGATTGCATGCCCTGCAAGAATGGCATAGATTACACCAACTCTTCCAACAATCTGGATTCGTGCATTCCCTGCAGCGTCTGTAAGGAAGGTATGGAACAAAGGGGTTTTCTCCCATAGGTGGGGTCTAGGGAGGTGGGACTCCTAACTGCTGTGGACTTGGAAACCTCGGTGCAAGCCCAATTCTCCACCTATCCTTAATTCAATGGGACACAAATTAAAAAGCAAAAGCCCTGAAGAATTAATCTGTGCTGTTTCAAGAATCATCGAGACCGTCAGTTGAGAGTAAGGTGGAAACTAACCCGCCCCTGTGGAGAGCAGGGCTTGGTACCCCCAAATGCAGCACAGGGTGGTTCCCACTGCCTTCACCACCCATTGATTTATCAGTCTGCACAATTGGTGAAAAGGAAGTGCCCTGGTGCCAGTGTGCAAGGACTTGTCCTGAGCAGTGGCGGTCTCCACTGAGCACATGTCATTAGATCTGGGCCTGGAAGGATAGATACAGGGTTCTAAGTGGAACAGGGAAGTCTCCAGCTGGAGTTCCAGCATTGAGGAGTAAAGAGCCCTGCACATTTGGAATAGGGCATTGATTCCATTCTGGGTCCAGCGTGAGTCTCCTCAACTCTGCAATGGATGTGATGTCCAGTAGCAAATCTTGAGTGACCTCACAGGTAGTGGCCTGCTTTGTATTTTCCAGAAGTTGAAGTCAGAAGGGTGGGTCATGGGATGCAACATCATCTTAGAAAGGAAAAGAGCCACTGAAAGTCTCCCCCCAGTCCCTGTGGTCCATCTCCAGCTATGGGTGACATGCTATGTTCTATCCTTATCCTCAGGATCCATCAGCTTTTTTCTTTCTTTTTTTTTGGGGGGGGCGGTTTGAGACAGGGTTTCTCTGTGGCTTTCCTGGAACTAGTCTTGTAGACCAGGCTGGTCTGGAACTCACAGAGATCCACCTGCCTCTGCCTCCAGAGTGCTCTGATTAAAGGCGTGCACCACCAACGCCCAGCATCATCTTTTTTCTTAATATTGGCTGCCTTCTAGTCCTGTGACACTGGAAGGCCACTCCTTCTAGAACCTTCAGCGTGCATTCATATTTCTTATTGTGGGTCTGCTAAAGTGTTGTTTAGGTCATAGATTATTGTTTTAGTGTCTTTTCCTGTTGCTGAGATGAAAGCTCTGACAAAAGCAAGTTAAGACTAATGCACAAACTGACTTAGTGAAGTGCATTCTATATGGAGAGATACCTTACCCAGCCTAGACACGGGGTGTTGGGGGTGGAGAGGTGCTGTGATCCTGCCTCAACTAGATGGTGGAACAGACTTAGACTTCCTAGGGGAGGCCTTACCCTCTCCGTGGAGCAGATGGGAGGTGGGAGGGATGAGGAGGAGCGTGAGGAGAAGAGGGAGGGGGAACTTGGATTGGAATGTAAAAATTTAATTTAAAAATTGTAAAAAAAATCAAGTTAAGGAAGAAAGGGTTGAACTGGCTCACAGTTCAAGGGTACCGCCCATCGTTGCAGCGAAGTTAATGTGAGCAGGAGCTTGAAGCAGCTGCTCAACTCCCGTTCTCAGAGAGCAATAGATGTGTGTGCTCAGCTCACTTTCTCCTTTTTATGCAGTTCAGGAACCTAGTTTAAGAATGATGCCATCCAGGGTGTGTGAGTTTTCCCACCCAATTAGCCTAATCAAGATAATCCTCAAAGACAAGCCCAGAGGTCTGTCTCCCAGATGATCCTAGATCTTATCAAGGTAACAATTGAGATTAGCCATCACAGTCATAACAAAGAAAGGAATGGCTGAGTGGTTTCAGGCTGGGTTCTCAGCTGGCTCTGGGCTAGGCTTCTCTTGTTCTAGGCTCTGATCTCTTGGTAGGTGTGAGCACTCAGTCCCTGCTTCTTAATGCTCCTCCTGTTTCCAGGAGCTTGAAGACTATCCTCTGTACATCCTGTCCTCATGGTCCTCCAAAATCTTATTCATGAGTGTGCACAGCTGTTCATGGGAGCCATCGTCTGCATGCCCCAGCTGTGGTGTTAATAGAAACTGGTCCTTGTTATTTCCTAAGTTCAGTCGAGCTGAGTGTGGAAGGAACTGTGTCATGAGGATGTGTTACTATGGTAACCAGGAAAACTCCTTCCTCAAACTCTTACAGATAAAGATGAAAAAACCAAGTGTACCACCACCAAAAACACGGAGTGTCAGTGCAAACCGGGAACCTTTGAAGATGAAAACTCACCTGAGTTCTGCAAAAAATGCTCTGAGTATGGCATGGGGCCCTGGAACGTCTGCAAGCCCGGGGCAACCCCAGAAGACCCAAACTTCCTTGTATTCTTAACCCCCCACTCCAAATCCCTGGAGTTCCCACACCACAGGATATCCCTAAACATTTGGGGTCCTTTGAGCCTGCTATGGTCTCTCCACATCCCTGTCCCCCACCAATCCCTTCATGGGTTTTTCCACCAAAGGCTGCACTATGTGTACCCAGATGTATAGACACAAAGAGCCTGTCCTTCCTTTAATAGCATCTCAGGGACATTGGGCAGAGTGGGGGACTCTCCTTTCACCACATCTGGCCAGCAGCCTTCTCACAAAATCGTATCATTTGTTCCTTGTGTGTGCCCAGGTGTACCAACAAAGAAGTTGAAGAGACTCCCTGTACCCCAAAGACAAACCGGAAGTGTGTCCCCAAAGACTCTTACTTACACTTTTACATATGGCTGTTGTTTGTGTCCCTGGGGCTGATAGTTGCTATAGCTTTCAGTGTTTGGAAGACTGGGGTATGGTGTGTGAAAGGAGCCTATCCAGGTGAGTGTTCTCCCACTTCCCCCAAACCACAAAAGCCCACAATCTCACCAGTCGTCCCCCCCCCCCTTCTAAACCAAGTCTGAGAGAGTAGGGCGTGGTCAGGGCCTCGTCATCAACTCCTCAACTGAGGATAAAGGTCAGGACAGGAGAGGGCGGGGGATAACTTTGGTTATAGCACAACCAGACAGAGTTTGTACGTGTGTTATTTTCATTCAGTTTCTCCCCAACTGCCTTCTGAAGCCTGAGGGTAGTCCCAAGCGAGAATGGCCCCTCCTTGTATCCAGTGTTGGAGCCTCTAGCTCACTCTCGTCAGATAAAAAATGGCTGATAAATCCCCTGCCCACGGGCTATGGGGCTCTCCTTCTCTTCTAGGCTGTGAACGGGATTCTGAAAATTCGAACACTGAGCGTTCGTCTCTGAGAGGGCAGACATCCAACGAGGGAAAGGACTCTCACTACAGCCCTGCAGCGAAGGCCCCAGAGGTTGTAGCTATACTGCAGACCAGAGTTTTTTTATTTTATGTGTATGAGTGTTTTGTCCACCTGTATGCCTGTGTATCACATGCTTGCCTGGGGGTCAGAAGAGGACATTGGATCCTCTGGAACTGGAGTTTACAGCCAGTTGTGACCCACCATATGGGAATCAAACCCGGGTCCTCTGGAAGAGCTGCCAGTGCTCTTAACCACTGAGCCATCTCTCCAGCCCTGAGAAGCAGGGCATTTGAGGGGCTGCACAGCCCAGAGAGGAGGCTACATCTGCACCTATCCTGGGTTGCTGTCCTGGCTCACTAAAGTGATTGGAGACCACTCTCTATCAAGTGGCCATTTTGAGCTTCCACAAGGCCCCAGCCCATGTTGCAACTCTGTCCTTTCTGCCCAACTCCTGTGGGTGGGCTCAAGTGGGAGTAGTGACCCCCTCTCCCCCTTTGGCACGCAGTGCAGCAGCAGATCATGGCTATGTGAGCCTAAGGTGGCTACACTGAGATGAGTGGGACCCTGGAGGGGGCCTGGGTATGGACTCCTGAATAGCCTCTTCACCTTCCCAAAGTCATTTCCACACACTTGTGTCCCTCGGGAGGATCTGAAATTCAGGGTGATGATCATACCAAGCCCCTAAACAGCCGGGGATGGCCATCCACTCTTTTGAGTTCACACTGGGCAGACAAGAGCTGGTGACAGGTGTCATTGTAGATAGTGCTGGTTTGTGGACAAAGTGGCAGTTGTCATCAGATCTCCTGGGCAAGGTGATATGGTGACAGGGTGACAAAGGACAGGCTGCATATGGCATATGTGGTAACCGAGCCATTCTGTGGAACATGCTGAGTCCCTGTGACATTCTTGCTGTGTGTGTCCTCAGAACCTGGGGCAGCCCAGAGTGGAGCAGATACTGTGGCAAAGAAGGGCTGAGTTCTTTGGTTTCATCTTTGTTTGACATATTGGGGCCTCACACATGTTAAAACTCTTATGGCTGAGTTACATCCTCAGTCACTTTTTAAAAATGTTTTCTTGAGACAATATCTCACTAAGTTACCAGGGTGGCCTCAGCTTTGCCCTTCTGTCCCAGCCTCCAGAGTAGTGGGTATTACAGGCCTATGCCACCAGTCCTGCCCATTTTCACCATTTGTTTAGTTTTCTGATCACATTTGTGGGGAGAAGTCCATGAAGTAGAATTTCCAGGTCAAGGCTACAGAAGTGCTGTTTGGTATGCACATGGGCACACACACAGTCAGACACACACACAATCATCGAACACACACACACACACACACACACACACACACACACACACACACACACACGCAATCAGATATACAAAATTACACATACAGGGTCTCTCACACACAGTCACACATACATACTGCTGTTTTTCATTTATAACAGCTCACAAGTTTTGACTAGACATTTAGCACTTTCTGTTGGTTTTGCTGTAGGAAAGCATCAGTGGTCTGGCATGTACTTGGCTTTGTTTTAAACATTTTTGCATATTGTTATCCTAATGTCATTATGAATTTCATAAGAAAAAAATGCCCCCTATATAAGTATTTTTTTTCTCACATTGATAATAGATTTCTAATTTCTTGTATAGCACATATGTGTTCATGTGTATATCCATGTATGTATGGAGTTAGAATGTGGAGGCCAGAGGTCTTTATCAAATGTTTTCCTCACTTTACTATTTTCTGAGGCAAGATCTCCTCCTGGACCTGGAACTCACTAGCTAAAGTATCTGGCCAGCTAGTGTCAGGGGTTCACCTGTCCCCACCTTCCTGGTGCTTGAAATACGATTACAGGCAGCCGAGCCCATCTCCCCCCTGCACCCCAACTTTTTTATGTTATGTGTATGAGTGTTCTGCCTGAATGTGTGTGCACCATGTGTGTTTCTGGAGCCTGATGAGGTCATAAAAGGGTGTCGAATCCTCTGGAACTAGAGTTACTTAGCCTCTGTGCCTGGCTTTTATGTAGTATTAGGCATCTGGACTCAGGCTCTCATCCTTCTGTGCAAGCACCTTACTGACTCAGCCATCTCCCCAGCCTCAAGTTCTTAATTCTTGTCCTTTAATTTGTTCTAATATTTCATTTTTGACTGTTAAAATCGGCCTCTACATTTACTTCTTATCACTCATAGGCTCCTCAAACCCTTTCCCCGGCATAAGATGAGCCTCTGACTTCTTGGGGAGATTTTTTTTTCCCACTGATTCCATTTTTGCATATTTCTGTGTCATCTAGATGGAATTTATTTTGTGATCTGATATTGTTCCTAGTCACCATGTGGTTCTTTCAATTCTATTTAAATATTGAGCCCCCCAACTCCCCTGGTCCCCCCTTAATCACAAGTCAAATGTCCATCTTGACAGTGACTTCCTTCCACCTGGATGAGTTCTGTTTCACTTTTGCAACTATGCTCAGTTTTTATTTTATAAAGAGAAAGAAAAATAAAATTGTTTTTTTGTTTTGGGGTTTTTGTTTGTTTGGTTTTTGTTGTTTTTGTTTTGTTTTGTTTGAGACAGGGTTTCTCTGTGTAGCTTTGGAGCCTGTCCTGGACCTCACTTTGTAGACCAGGCTGGTCTCGAATTCACAGAGATCTGCTTGCCTCTGCCTCTCAAGTGCTGGGATTAAAGGCATGTGCCACCACCACCAAACTGAGAAAAGGAAATAAATTTAAAAACACTCAGTAGCCCCTCAGCTTAAGTTGTGGAATGAGAACAGTGCAGAAAGGAGCTGTGAGTATTAAGAGAACTGCAGCTCACCCGCTCCTGAGAGATGACGGTAATTTCTTTTCTTTAAATGTTTACACTGTGTCAAAATCATTTACATGAAATTCTCAGACATATATACAATACTCGGCTGCACATTAAATTTCTAGTATATTAAAATAAGCAGATATTTACTTTTTCAAAACTTGCCAATTTACCCAGATATAATTTAGGATTCATTCATAAGTTTTTTTTCCCATGCCCCAAATAATAATTGGAATTTTTATTGAATGTGTCTTAAGTATTAAAAGGGAGCCATGAAGAAGATTGTTCAGTGGCTAAAAGAATTTGCTGTGAATGCCTGATGGCCTATGTTTGACCATTGGAATCCACAAAAAGCCAGAATTGGTAGTTCACATCTCTAATCTCCTCATCTGGAAGCTGTGGGCTAGCTATCCTGGAATATGCAATATGGCAGAAGCAAGATCGGTTCCCCTCAACAAGGTGGAAGGCGAGAACTGGCTTTGTGCACACTGTGGAACACAGGCACCTGTACACACATACACACAAACACACAATAATACTTTTAAATTAAATATAAAAACTAATCTAGTAGGTATTGAGATCTTCTCAGTACTTAATTTTTTAAAGATGTGTTTTTTGTTTATGTGTTTATGCACACACAGGTGCCCACAGAAGCCAGAATGGGGACATTGTGTCTCCTGGAGCTGGAGTTACAGGCATTTGTGAGGTGCCTGATATAGGGGCTGAGATCTGAACTCTGATTCTCTGATAGGGTAGTAAGTGCTCTTAACTGCTGAACCATCTTTTCAACCCAAATACTCAATTTTTTTTTTTCTTACCAGAGGAGGCAACATTTTAAGGCAAGACTTTTGTTTTGTTTTTGTTTTTTGTTTTCTCTGAGACAGGGTTTCTCTGTATTGTTTTGGAGGCTGTACTGGAACTCAATCTGTAGACCAGGCTGTCCTTGAACTCACAGAGATCCATCTGCCTCTGCCTCCCGAGGGCTGGGATTAAAGGCTTGCGCCACCAAACAAGACTTTTTTTTAATAGCTAAGTTTTGTGTTTTTCTAGAGACATGTGATCCTTTTTCTTGACAACAGCGTATTTCCCGTGTTTGCTTTGTCACCTTTATAAGTCGGGCCTTTGTCTTAATGTCTTTTTCTGTTGTTGTAATGAGTGACCCTGGGGAAAACAACTTAGGGGTGAAAGGGTCTATTTTAGTCCACAGTTCCGGGTTACAGTCCACCATAGCTGGAAGTCACAGCAGCACAGTTCCGGGTTACAGTCCACCATAGCCGCAAGTAAAGCAGCAGAAGCCTGAGAGAACCAGCCTCGTTCCATCCACAGTCGAGAGAGCAGTAAATGAATTCAGCAATCTCCCTTTTTCATCCAGCTCACAGCCCAGCACATAAATTGGTGTTGCTCTCATTCATGGTGGGTCTTCCCACCTCAGTTAACCTAAGTGAGAAAAGCCCTTATGGGCATCCCCACAGACCAACTCGGTTTAGACAATTCCTTATGAAGAGTCTCCCCAGGGGACTCTAGATTTGTGTCCCGTTGCCTCAAACTACCCATCACAATCCTTTTAGTTCCATTTTTGAATTTACTGTTTCTGCCATGTTTTAAAACATTCATCCAAAGTTATGTTCATCTGTTATTATTATTATTATTTAAGATTCCGTTTTTAAGTGTAAAAACATCCAAAATAATGACTTTTTTCCTGCTCCCTGCTAAGAATCCTGTCTCTTGGTTTGTTTGTTTGTTTGCTTGCTTGCTTTTTGTTTTTATTCCCTTTCACTGTGTAGCTAGAGCTGTCAGAAGAGAGCTGGACAGTGATTAGAGATGGGGTGTGGCTTTCTGGGTTTGAACCCTAGCACCACAAAACAAAACAAAACCCAGTGGTTAGAGAAAGGGGGCGTTTGGTCTTGGTCTGACCTGTTGATTTCTAATGTGTTACCATTGTGAATGACATTGACTGTTTTATATAGACATTTCCTTTATTATTGATGTTTCTGAAGAACCAGCCTGCCTCCATCTTTTTTTTTAAGATTTTTTGTTTTTGTTTTTGTTTTGTTTTGTTTTTTTGTTTTTCAAGACAGGATTTCTCTGTGTAGCTTTGGAGCCTATCCCGGCACTCGCTCTGGAGACCAGGCTGGCCTCGAACTCACAGAGATCCGCCTGCCTCTGCCTCCCGAGTGCTGGGATTAAAGGCATGCGCCACCAACACCCGGCTTTTTTTAAAAAAAGAATTTATTTATTATGTATACAGTGTTCTGCCTGCTTGTCTGACTGCAGGCCAGAAGAGGGCACCAGATCTTATTACAGATGGTTGTGAGCAACCATATAGTTGCTGGGAATTGAACTCAGGACCTCTGGAAGATCAGTTAGTGGTTTTAACCTCTGAGGCATCTCTCCAGCCCCCTGCCTCTGTCTTAAAAGCCCTCTTATAGTAAAGACAAACTAGGGTCGTTCCTGTTTATGATTAAACTTCTGTTTCTCAAGGATTGGGCTATACCTGCCCTCCCTCTCCCACCAATGGCAATCATGTCTTTTTTTCCAAAGGTTATATGACTGCCTATGACTACCTGTTGTTATGACTACCAGTTGTTATGATTACCTTGTTATGCCCACCTTGCAACCATGTCTTTGTTTCAGGAGCCCTTGTAGGACCGACTTGCTATGCTTATGTTCTGCACCTATAATCCCACCTATTTTGTCTGCCAAATCCCCCATTCAGAAACCCTCTACCCTGATTTCTATAAAACCTTATCTACCTCACATCCAATGCTGACCTTTCAACCCCTGCCTTAGGGTGAGGCATCCCGTATGTATGAATAAAAAACTTGCTTTAATTAATTGCTTGCTTAAATTAATTTGGCCATGATGATTTGGGCCAATGATCTTTGCGCCCCCCTTCCCCCCATCTTTGGGATTAGCTGTATTCTTTGGTTACAAGTTGTTGTTTGTAGGAGCTGGAGAGGTAATCAGCAGTTAAAAGTTTGCTGCTCTTTCAGAGGACGTGGGTTTGGTTATCAGCGCCTGCATTGGGTGGCTCACAACTGTGTGTAACTCCAGTTCCAGGGTACCTGACACCCTCTTCTGGCTTCCACAGCTCCCTCTCTCATCATACAGTCAAATGCACAGATATACGCATAAATTTAAAACCTTTTAAACAGTCAAATTTCATATTCAGTTATATCCAATACCTTCCCAGCCCCTGTGCTATTAATGTTTTCATTTCCATACTTAAGTTGATGTGTTAATTGTTATTGTTGATTAAAACACCTTTAAAGCCTTGAAACAAGCTGGGCGTTGGTGGTACACACCTTTAATCCCAGCACTCAGGAGGCCGAGGCAGATAGATCTCTGTGAATTCAAGGCCTTCGTGGTCTACAGAGTGAGTTCCAGGACAGAGCCACAGAGAAACCCTGTCTCAAAAAACAAAATAAAGCCTTTAAACAAATCTTGATCTTGGATTTTGTAAAGCTCTCTCCTCTATAGTCTCCAGCTGAGTTCTGTAAGAAGCCTGGGACAGAGAGCTTGGCCAGAAGGGAAACCTGGAGTAAGGGGGATATTCAGTCTTAACTGAGGCTTATAGGGTTGCATACTTGTCACAAAACACTTGAGGTGAGCATTTATGCCGCACTAGACCAGCAGCGTCAAGAGCCTTCAAGCAACCGGAGGCAGGAAGTTTATCTTGTAAACTTAACCTAAGTCTGGTAATCAGGAACAGGCCTGGGCCCTAGGTCTCCTGACGTCGTCTCTGCCATTTGTTTTCAGGAACCAGAGGTAGCTCCGGAGAATTCTCCAATGGGAAGGAAGTTTCTGGTTACAGTGAATGAAAATGATTCAGTTGATGGTGAGTGTTTTGTATGAGACAATAATAGCATAGGTAGAATAGGAAAAGTATTCCAGCTGTTATTCACATAGCAGATAGTGCTCTGCCAAGACAACTAATGATGGATGCAACACCTATACTATTGTCACTGGATTTAGGAACCATAAATCCCCCTTCTCCCTTCTGTCTCCATTGGAAGCTCCCCCAGTGCTTCATACTGTTATTGTTAGAATCTTTCTGTCCTTCCACTCTCCCACCATCCCTGCCTTCTCCCTTGTAGACCCCACCCCCACCTCCACCATGGTCTCCAGAATGGTTCACTGGCCTGTGTTAAGACCCACGAGCCTCAGACTAGAAGCTCCTGACATGGCCACACTTAGTTTGATGAGCTGTACTATAAATCACAGACCTGACTTCCAAGATGTCATAGAAAACGGATGGAAGCCATCTCATGAATAATGTTTCAGATTATTAACTACATGAGTTGATGGATTTCACATGTACTGAGTTGAATCAAATGGTACTTGCTTCCTTTCATATTTAGTTAGTTAATAAGTTAAGTTTTATATGGGTTCTGGGGACAGAACTTATGTCCTCTGCAAAAGCAGTATGTGCTTTTAATCACTGTGCTTCTCTCTCCAGCCCCCGCCCTCAGTGCTATAATACTTGGGACTAAACACAGGGTTTTGAGTATACAGGGTAAATACTCTACCAATTAAGCTACACCTCTAACCCTCCTTTCATTGGGTAAATAAGGCTGTTAGAACATGTCCTTATGACTCTTGGAACTCATGGGACTCCTACCCCTACTCCTTCTGTTTCTCAGGATGGAGGGTGAAACATTTCATACATACCTCATTTATGTCATCATAACTGCATAAGTGACTTTCCATTACTTAGCTACCGGTTCAGGTTTTCAATCATTTCTTTTCTACCATCTAATGGCAGTGATGCAGCAGTGAGGGAAGCTGGCTGGCATGGAAAGGTCCTCTGCCTCTCTCCTCCTCTGTTCTTTCTTCAGAGGCAGTAGGGCTGCCCTTTACCCCATTCTCCATGAATACAGCCTAAACAGCCTTCTTCCCTGAGATACTATGCACCCACCCCCCCTGTACCCCTCTGTGGCTCATGCCACAACCGGTAGGCGAATACACACACACACACACACACACACACACACACACACACACACACACACGGAAAAAAAAAACTATGCACCTTCTCCTACTGGGCCAACAGCCTTCTTGCAGAACAGGATTTTTTTTTAAGGTATATTTTTAAAAATTTTACTTTGTATGTATGGGTGTTTTGCCTGCATGCATGTCTGTGCACCACTTGTGTGCCTAGTGCCTTGCAGAGGCCAGAAGACTTGCAAATTTCCTGGGACTACAGCTATAGGCAGTTGTGAGCCACAATGTGGGTGTTGGGAATCAAACCCAGGACCTTTGGTAGAGCGAGCAGTCAGTAGTCTGAACAGCTGAGCCACCTCTCCAGCCCCCAGATTCTTGGTTGGCTTTGGGTATGGTGGGGCCCCAACAGCATTCATGGAGTGGCAAGAGAGTGCATTAGGTCCTACCCTTGCCTTCTAGATCTAGTTTAGGGTCCTCCACTCTCTGTGATGGGCTTACAACTTACCTGTCCCCAATGTTTTCTGACACCCAGCCCTGAAGCTAATCTTCAATCAATGTTCCAATATTGTGCCCTTTAAATCCTAGAACAACCTCATGTGGCATATGGACCTCACAGACAATGACATTCAAATGGTCAGAGCTGCCTTGGAAGCTCCTGGATGCCTTGGAAGCCATAGGAGAGAGGTATGCCCGGGACACCATTGAAGACCATGCAGTGAAATCTGGGACGTTCATTTATCAAAAAGCTACAGCAGAGCCAGGCATGACGCCACACAACTGTGATACCGGCACTCAGGAGTCAGAGGCAGGATAATCTCTATGAGATCAAGGCCAGCCTGGTTGGTCTATATGGTGAACTCAGAACAGCCAGGACTGTGTAGAGATCTGTATGAAAAGAAGCTGCAGTAGACCCTTCAGTGTCATTAGAATTAATTTTATCTTTCTGTATTTATTGTATCATATTATTGTATTGTATTGTACTAGAAGCTGGACCCATACCTCATGAACACTAGGCAAGCACTTGGACACCAAAATGCATCTCCAGCATCCTGGTTTGCCTTTGTTCCTGTCTTGAACTTCTAACTCCCAGGTGTCCAGATTTCTCACTTCCTCAAGTGAGTTTCCTGGCTTGGACACACAGGGAACATAAAAAGCACTATCTGTGGTGATGCAACCCCTGCCCCCTTTCCTACCACCTTCTGGGGGATCAGCGGCATCCTTACTCCAAGTACCTCTGAGGATCCATGGTCTTGATTCTCCTTAGTTTGGGTTCCAGTCCTCCTTTTTATGTATACTTGATCTGTCTGTGGGGATCTTTTAAGCTTTACAACTTTATATTTCTGTTTGTCTTATTATTCTGGGTACTGCATGAAGGTCATAGTTCATGTTGAACAAGTTCTTTGCAACTGAGCTAAAACCCAGTTTATTAATCACTGAGTTTAACACTTTATAAATATATATAAATACTTACATGTCTACAGTTTGGTGTTGTATCCACACTGATGGACATGACTGGTCCATCATCTGACATTGGTGATGGATAATCTTGATTAGATTGAGAGGAGTTGGGCCAGAGAGATGGCTCAGCAGATAAAGGTGCTTGTCACCACACCTGATAACCCAAGTTCTGTCCCCAGAAACCACATGATGGAAGGTGAGAACAAATTCCTGCAAGTTGTCTACTGGCCTCTGTTTATGTGATGTGGCATGAGCACACATACACACACACACACACACACACACACACACACACACACGCAAATTTTTAAAATCCAAATTGAGAGGCGCCTAGGAGATTGTAACGCACACTTTTGGGTGTGTCTGTAAGGGCATTTCCAGAGAGGGTTGACAGCAACTGAGATGGAAGGACTTGCTATAGATTGAGTAGCACTATCCAATAGGCTGAGGCATGAATGGAATGAAAGAGGGAGGAGGAGGCAGCCAGCCAGTGTTTGCAGGCTCCACTCTTCACAATTTGTCTGCTGCTGCCACCATCACTAGTGGGCATCCTTCCCCTTTGACCTTTCCACATAGAATCAACCCCAGTGACTCTCTACAGAGTCTCAGACCACCAACCTTGGTTTGGGGTATCTTTGACTCCTTATTTTGAGGCTCCCCATTTCTTGGACTGAAAAGCTACAGGGCTCTGTGGGTCTAGACATGCAATCCAATTTCATGAGTCCTCTTTTATGATGCTATACTGTTGGTTCCTATTTGGACTTCTCATCTGTGGCTGGGGTGAGGAAATGGGAGATATGTTAGGCTAGAGGTGCCCAATAAGCTCGTGTGCATTTCATGTTAGTGACTCTGAGTCCTGATGGGGAAAGTACTTCTGTGTATGTTTATCTTATTGATTGTTAAGTAAAATACTGTTTGGCCAATGAGACAGCAAGTAGACAGGACTAGGAGTCAAAGAGGATTCTGGGAAATGTAGTAGAGAAGTGCTGATCCAGGCAGAAAGTGACATAGCAAAGAAACTCATATTTAAGTGAAGGAGAAACAGGAAGGGCCCTCTTTTTCCCCTCTGCTCCTGCTCCAATGGCAAGATATGATCCACCGACAAGGAGGGGCGCCAATAAGGCGTCCGATAAGTCTTATAAAATATATAGATTTATGATAATTAAGACTGAGCTAACAGATGAGAATCCTAGTCATTGGCCAAGCAGCTTTGTACCTAATACAAGTTTCTGTGTATTCATTTGGGCCTAACTTGGGTGGGAGGCTGGCGTAAAGCTCACACATGGCGGTAGGGCTCAGGTGGCTTTTAGCAGAAAGATTTATCGTAACAGAGTCCTTCCTGGGATCAAGGGAGGAGGGCACAGACTTGTGTCTGCATGCTCTCAGGGATGGTACATATGAATGTGAAATACTAGTAGCTCATGAATTCTCAGTTCTAGTGAATGTAGCCCTGGGCCACACTGGCCACAGAAATCCATCCTTGAGGACCGTGCCCTCTGTAAACACTGAAATGCCAGTTCTTCGGTTTTTGGTTTTGAGTCTGGGTCTTGGCTATGAATCCCAGACTGCCCTCACTCAGACTGCCTCAGCCTCCTTAAAGCTGAAATTACATGTGTGCATAACCATATCCATAAATATTTTTAAAATACTGTGATAAGGATTTCTGGAGAGCTGGAACATTCAGATTTTTATCCTGTACGGATTCCTGTTCTGTATTTAAAAACTAATTTGTTTTTGAGACAGAGTCTAAATATGGCCTCCAACTCTGAGGTCTGCCTGCAGCTGCCTTCCAAGTCCTGGGGATTAAATGGATGTAATGTACTTGACCTCCGTCTATTTTTGTGATTTTTATATTTTGAGTTTAATTTTTATTTTATGAGTATTTTGCCTGCATATATGTGTATGACATGCCTGGTGCTCACGTAGGTCAGACAACAGCATTTGATGACCTTGAACTGGAGTTAAAGATGGTTGTGATCCACTGTGTGGGTGATTGGAACTGAGCCCAAGTCCTGTGGAAGAGCAAGTGCTCTAAACCACTCAACAATTTCCTTAAGTTCTCATTATTTCACCCCTCCTCCTGCCAAAACCTTCTCCAGCAGATTCTAGCCACACAGCAGGACAGCACCTGGAAATGGCTGTTTCCAGGTGTTCTATAGTGTCTTGATGCTGTGGCATCCGTGTATCTTCAGGAGGGAGATATTTCCCCCATCCCCACACCCCCGAGTATTCTCCTGATCAGTGTTAGTTATGTTATTCTGTTATTCTGAGAGTAAGCCTTGTACCTGTATGCAGATGTTGGAATTGTACATCAGGGTTTGTTGGGCTCTGTACCCAGCCCCAACAATAGGTGTAGGTTTTACCCTCACATTTGATGTCCTTTCTTGCCTGCCCTTGGAAACATGTTGGTAACATGAAATGAAACAAGGCATGCCATTAGGTACAAAATACTCAATGTATTATGAATTCATGACCAAATTAAATATGAAACCTTATATAAAAAGGTGTGGGGTTTGTTGTTTGTTTGTGCCCCCATCCGCTAAAACAATACTGAGTGACATAAGTGACATAGTCCAGGGGAGCATGTTCTGGTGTCACTGTCCTCCCCCCCTTCTGTGGGGGCTTCTATGCCACAGGCTTGCTCCACACCGGAGTGTCTCCTACTTCTGTCTCCCTGGAGTCCAGAGCACCCATGTACCTGGTGTACACTGGCTCTGACAGCTGCTGGGGGGTGGGGTGGGTCCCTGAGGGGTGAACTGGCCTGGTTGGGGCATGGTCTTCCTTGGGCTTCCACCAACTCCACAAAGCTTCACGTTCTCCCACAGGCCCGTCCATCATCACCAGTGATGCCCAAGCTGCTTGAATGAGAGACCCAATTCCCCTTGCTCTTTAGGGTTGGACTCTACTAATTACTATAGCTCTCAGATGTACCCCTAACTCTGTCCTCACCTTTTCCATGCTTACAGACGCCTCTTCACACTTAGAGCCATTTAGAACTCAGCTGCAGGAGGGCACGCTAGCCAGCAGAGGGCAGCACCAAACACACTTCCCCAGCCAGCAAGTCTGGAGGACTTGACCCAAGGGCAGCTGCTGCTGTCTTGGCGGTTCCAGGCTCAGATTGTTGAGTTCAGTACTATGTGAGACCTGCTACAGGCTGTTCCCTCTGACAAGGCAGGATCAGAACTCTAGATGCATTTGTTTCTGGGTTTGCTTTAATCCCAGACCCAAGCAACCTATCCATGTCTGGGGGAATCAGTCACTTCCTACTGCCTCATGGGACTTCACCTCCTAAATCTAAAATATGGTAAAAGGTGGTGAAGTATGGATCATAATTAGGAAATGGAAAGGGTCAACTGAGGCCCGGTGTTTGTCCCACACGGGGGTTTCAAGTTATTATGTTCATTCTCCAGCCACTTAGATTCCTCTCTGGATTAAAATTTTCTCCTTCCCTTTATCCTCAACCAGTACCAGGTTGGGTTGTATGGCCTGTTCTTCAGTGTGTCCTTTCCTGACATTTAACCCTTACCCAAAGCTCCCACCCCACCCACCCTGTCCCCGAAAGCACATGCTCCGGATATATCCTGTGAAGTCACCCTTGGAAGAGGAGGCTAGTCTGCATCAAGACGGAAAAAGTCCAGAGCCACTTCAGCCCGGAAGTAAGAGCCTTCCCTGCAACCTTGCAACCTATAACCATCAAGCTCCAGGCAAGAGCATCCTCAGATACAGAGGGTACAAGTCCTCCTGAAAGGCATTGGAGTGGCTGGTACTGCTAGCCCTCATATCCACATTATTACAGAGGCCTCCATTCAGCTTTATGAAAATGTATACCCTACCCTACAGGGTCTCTTTTTGGGACTTCATTCTTGGGGTGGGGCATGGGAGGGACAAAAGATAGAGTGGTTTTGGTGGTGATTTTTTTCTTTTTGAATTTGATTTTCATTTGTTGGGCTGTTTTTGCCCCACCCCATAAAAAGCAGTGTTAGCCCAGAGACAGAGGAAGAGGCCTAGAGCATCATGGGATTGCTGAGCACAGCTCCCACCCTTCCTTCTCCATTTATGACCAAATGTGAGGAGTGCGGGACACAAACCTGAACCCTGAATCAAAGCTGTCACCCACCACTAGGTCTGCATTGCCTGTAGCCCTGAAAAGATGCCAGCAGGATACAGTTTACTCCCTAGCAGCCACAACTCATAGTGTAGAAGCCTTGACGTGGGCTCTGCAGACTTCTTCCTACCCTGACTTCTCAAGCGGGGATTTGAGTAAGCCCACGGAACAATGCTCACAAAATACTTGCAACCCTCAAGTCTGTTGGTGGAAAAAAAAAAAAAAACATGACCAGCTCCTGGAGAGGAAGCTGCCTCCCTGGCCAAAGCAGAGACCAATACAGACAAGCCCACGTGCAGGGAAGCTTTCCTCCATTGACTCTATTGTCAAGTCCAGAGAGAAAATATCAAGAGCTCTGAGCTCTTTCCTGCTCCCCACCTCGGGGCAGATGGTTTCCTACCCTGCCTGAAATTGTAGGTGGACCCTGTTCTGATCTGCAGGGCCAGGCTCCTCCTGGCCCGAGCCACATTGGCTGGTGAGAACGGCTCTGCCCTTAGGGCCCTGGTTAGGTGAGTTCCCTCGTGCCCTGTTGAGTGGATAGGATGATAAAGAAGAGCAGAAGGACAAGGGCTAATGAGGACAACAGCAACAGGATCAGAAGACGGTGGCAGCATTTCAGACCACAGCCGAGGAGGAGGACGGGGACGCCGAGCCCGCTGCTGAGGAGGACGGTGATGAGGGACTGTTCCAGAACAGCCACCGCCGCTTAGGCTGCCTCCGCAGGTGTAAATAGTCCTCTTTCTCACGTTCCTTTCGCGCACGCTGATAGTGGTCCTCTTCTTTCAGGTACCAGACAGGTGGCCACCGGTGCTTCTCAAAGTACTCCTGGTTTTCTAGAGCACAATGTAAGCGGTGCTGAGTTAAGAGGTGGCCCCAGGTCAGCACTAAGCTCACCCTGCCCAGGTCCAGGTTAACTCCTGCTGCACAAGCTGCTGGGGCTGGCACAGAGACTCACCTGGGGACATGGCCTTCATGTCTCGGGGGAACTTGCGGCACACGTTGTTGTAGTTGGTGCAGATGTGGTGGAGACACCAGTCGGCCAACTGATACGCACAATGGAACTGTGGATGGTACAGAAACACATTCCCGTTGGCGCAGGGACTCTGCACAGTGGCCTATGGAGCAGCAGCACTGGGCAGTGCCTGCAGATGCTCAGCAGTCTCCCCATTACCAACCCCTCAATCGCCACCAGCATCTGTGCTGCCGATATTCATGTCCCCCGTGCCCTCCCTCTGGCATCTGCCCTTCTTAGCTCTTATCCCACTGGGTTGGTTCCCTTCTTCCATCTGCAGACAAAACAGTCTGCACTGAGAAATGGGCAACCAAGTTTAGAAAACCCGGCACCATCCACACTCAAAGACCAAATTCCTGGCACTGTGACTCCTTTGTTTGCCAATAAGGAGGCAGGCAGTTAAGTTCCGAGAGGGAGTCCTCAGTACCCCCAGCCCCATTCTGCAGTTCCCTTTGATGACCTACGGTCTCAGCCCCTCCTTCTCATTGCCAGCTCTCTTTGCGGATATCCAAAAGTTCTCTCGCTGCTTCCTGGTATATAAGATGATATAAACTCCACCCAGCTGGCAAGCCAAGGCTGTACACCATCCCAACCATCACCCCATAGAACCCTTTACTCTGCCTATGGGCAGACGGAGCCTAGGGTCAAGTTTTGCCAATCTCTTCCCCAACCCTGATACCTGTGCCAATTCCAGGAACACAAGGACATCCCCATCGATGTCCACCATCATCTGGGTTGCTTCCATCAGCCCCGTCACTGTGTACTGCTCTGTGACACACACAAACAGCCAACAGTCAGCCGGAGAAACATGGAAATGGACCCGCAGTACCACATCAGGGGTCTGCCGCAGGGAGGGTTCAAACTGATCGGGCCAAGGATAAGTCCCAACAGGTCAGAAAGTCCAAGGGAGACTTTAAGTTTGTTCTTATTGGAGGGAAACAGGCACGAGGGTAAGACCTCAGGAGGGTAGGGATAGGAAATGAGAGAGATGCTAAGCCTACTAAGAGGTCTTTTCAAACTACATATGTCCCACCATATAATCTGATATGACAGAGAGTCACAGTTCTTCCTCAGCCACTGATGAAGGGGGCCTGAAGCCTCGTGTTTGTTGATAGGAAAACAGCCTGAGAACTCTGATCTGGAACTGTGGCTTAAACCTATTTACTTATATTAATTTAAGTTTTATTAACAAATGATGCATTCTTCTTCCAGTTTACATTAAAATATTTATATGGAGGAAATAAACTCAATTGGTCCTGAATTTAATGAAAAGTATCAGAATAAGCCCATGAGGTATTTTATCCTTAAAAGATGAGTTCTTTTTTTCCAGCTCCTCTCACAGGAAAGACCCAGAAACAGGAAGTATCACAAGACCAGTGAGTATTTCCATTGTCAATTATAAGAAACCAGGGCTTTCAAGCCGGGCGGTGGTGGTGCACTCCTTTAACCCCAGCACTTGGGAGGCAGAGACAGGAGGATCTCTGTGAGTTCCAGACCAGCCTGGTCTATAAGAGCTAGTTCCAGGACAGCCTCCAAAGCAACACAGAGAAACTGTCTCGAAAAAAGGAAGAAAGAAAGAAACCAGGACTTCAAGCATATCCAGGGTTTTGGGTTTATCACCACAAAGAAACCAGGGTGTTCTGGAGAAATGCTAAGTCCAGGACTGAGACAGAAAGGTACAAAGTGGAGTTAAGACATCTTTTCACTGCATACAGCACAGAAGCCAAGGACTAGAGTAAACATGAAGAGACTGCTACTGTTAAATGTATAGTATTTGAACTTCAGTAAGAATAAATGTGTTGGTTGTGATGGTGTGTACCTACAGTGCTAGCACTCTGGAGGGTGAGGCAGGAGGATCAGGAGTTCAAAGCCAGCTTAAGCCACATAGCAACTTCAAGGCCAGCCTGGGCTTTATAAGACCCTGTCTTAAAAACAACAAACAAACAAAAGAATAAATACAATTAAATGAAACCAACCAAATTTGTTCATGATAGTGCTTTAAAAATACACACACACACACACACACACACACACACACACACACACACACTCACAAATTGGTCACTCTCAAAAGTGGGAGGAAAGAGCTGCATCTCAAAAACTTATACATCGAAGGAATGGACCAAGTATTACTATCTTTCCTACAGAAACTTGATTCCTGGGTAACCAAACAATAAGTGATGGCTGTGTATCACTTGGTAGGAGAAGGAATGGCTGAGCATCTTTTTGCAGCACCCAATTAGTTGGTAGTTCTAGGCAGTGATAATAGCTACTAAAACCACAAAAAAAGAAAACCAGGCAATCTTTGTCTCTTGATGAGACAAAGAGAAATAACCTATAAGACAGTTGGTTTTGTTTGTTTTTTTAAGCGCACCAGGATCTAGATCCTAAATTGAATGCCAGTTTACAAGAAATATGATGGGGAGAGAATTATATTAACTACACCATGAAAGTGGAATAATGGACTGGGGTTCTAGCTCAGCTGGTAGCGTACTCATCTATCCTGCATGGAGCCCTGGCTTCCATCCCAGCACCACATAAACTAGGTGGGGTGGTGCACAACGATAATCCCAGCATTCACGAGGTGGAGGATCAGAGTATGAAGCAAGTTTAGCCTTCAGAGGACCCCATCTCAAAAAAAAAAAAAAAAAAAAAAAAAAACAGAGAGAGAGAGAGAAGGTAATTCAGTCAGTAAAAAATCTAGATCACAGAAAACTACAAGACCCAAACAGTATAGGGCTTGTGAGACGGCTCAGGAGGTAAAGACACTTGCTGCCAAAACTGACCACTTGAGTTTGGTCCCCAAAGCACACAGAATAAAGAACCAACTCCCAAAAGTTCTCCTCAGACCACCACACATACACACAATAAATAAATGTATTTTAAAAAGACCAGAGTTGGAGTAGGCTGGCTACTTTTTGTCAGATTGACACAAACTAAAGTCAACCTGGGAATAAAGAATGTAGCAGGCTTTCTTTTGGGCCACCAACCAGCTCCCAAATCTTGACATGGAGACTTAATATTATAGGCAGGTAAGGTGAAAGAGCAACACACCTTTACATAATTAAACAAATGTAGCACACCTTTGCATAGTTAAAGAAATATTCCACAACAAGAGAATCTGGATCCAGAAATTGCCTCCATGAGATTGGCCTGGGGGCATGTCAGTGGGGGCATTTTCTCCATTACTGATTGATGTGGGGGGGCCCAGCCCACTGTGGGCATAACCAACCCTAGGCAGGTGGTCCTGGTTGTATCAGAGAGCAAGCTGAGTGAGTCATGGACAGCAAGCCAGTAAATTGCTTCTTGGTCTCCACTTCAGATCCTGCCATGGCTTCCCTTGATGATGGACTTGTAAGCTAAATAAACTTGTAAGCTAAATAAACACTTTCCTTCCCAAAGTTGGTTTTGGTAATTTTTTTAAAAAAAAATCACAGCAGCAGAAAGCAAATTATGACAATTTGTTTTTCAACAAATAACTTTAGGAAGATTCTTTTTTTTTAATGGGCAGGAACTCACTGATTAAATGAAATTCAAAAAGTAACACACAAAAATAAAATCAAGCTACGTTTAAAGGAAGCATGCTTGGATGATAAAACTATAGACTGTAAGGAAGTGAGTCTGTAAGAATTACTATAAGAAAGAGTAATGGGCGGTGTGGTTTCCTCTAGGGAAAAGAGAGTGACTGTAATGGTGTGTGCGTGTGTGTGTGTGTGTGTGTGTGTGTGTGTGTGTGTGTGTAAACTTTTGGTGTGGTCAGGGAGGTTCAAGTTCCTGACATCCAGCAAGATTAGAAAAGAATTTTGCTATATAATTCATTAAACAGAGCATACATTTCATTTATTTTATATATATATATATATATATATATATATATATATATATATATACATCAACAAACAAGTGTGAACAGATAGCCTCAGAAAATATAAAGCCACTCACATTTTCTGTACATTCACTAACCACCTGAAACTCAGCCTCTCCCACAGATCCTTAACAAGGCACATATTCAAGTTTTAGTGCACATTTTCTAACGTTCTCAGATCCTTTTGGGGGGGATGGGGGGAGTAATTAGATGTTACTTTCTGCAAGGCCTTCCACAGGGCAGTGCAGCTTGATATTTTAAACGGCAGCCATGGAAAAATTACCTATGTGGGCTTAATCAAGGGTGCTTCTCCGACTTGCTTCCAATTCCTAGCCTAATGAAAAGAACTCCTTTATGGGTTTAGTTTTTCCCTGAGGTAATTACTTTAGAGTTTTTTTGAAAATGAAATTACTCCATGTCAGAATTAGACATGCTGTGGCCTCTGGAAAGATCACACCCTTTTCCTTGGGCACCAAAGGGTACTACCCCCAGACTTTACCTATCATAAGTCCCTCTTACCTCTCACTTGGGTCACTAAACTCCCTTACAGGCCTGGCTCTTAATATCCTGTGCTGACCAATGAGTTCTGCCTTCCTGTGACTGACATGTCCCCTGTACTTCTTCTGTCATTACAGGACTGCTATCTCCCTAGCGTCTGCCCCTAATCTTAACTAACTGCCCAGGGCTCCAGCCGCTTTGACACTGGCCCTTGCCTGAATCCTGACTCAAGTTCTAAGGTTCTTCTCTCTGCCCTCTCCTGACCTGTCTTGACCACACGCTAACACTAGGATCAAAGTCAACAGCAACACAAACACCAACCCCAAAGTTAATAGAAGCCACCTGCCTGCCTGGATCTCCATCTTTGGATCCCCTTCCCACTGAGAGAATCCAGGGGCCTACTGCTGCATCTCCCAATCATCCATATCGTCCTTTGCCTTGAGGGGCTTCTGGGACTGGCTCATTTTAAAAGCTAAGATATGACTCAAACCCCACCAGTGTGTGTGTGTGTGTGTGCGCGCGCGCGCGTGCGTGCGTGCGTGCGTGTGATACTAGGAACTAAACCCAAGGCCTTTCACAAGAAGGGAAGTGCCACCACTGAGCCATATCCCCGTTGCTACCCCATCTCTTTGAGACAAGGTTTACTAAACTGCCCAGAACAATTAAACTTCTGCAGGTGAAACTTGAACTTAGGCTCCTTCTGACTCTGCTTCTGGTTAGCTCTGATTACAGCCTATAGTGCCAGGCCCAGCTTTCACAAGCCTTACAAGGAACTATAAGGGGTTAGTCAATGCTTGCTTTATGTTTCTGGAAGAGGTAGGAAAGGTGACATCAAGGACAAGGAAGGATAGGAAGAAGAAAAGAACAGGAAGCTGACCAGGAGAAGAAACATATGGCAGAAGCAGAAATATGTTCTATTCCTTGTGACTTCTTGACCTTGCCTGAGTGAAGGTCAAAGTGTTACCACCTGTAGAGACCATTTTGTGATGTCACGAGACCTCCAAGGTGACCCTATCACCACTGCACAACTATGTCCTCAGGAAAAATCTACACATATCAGCAGATCGAATTCTTTTTTTTTTTTAAATGAGCATTGTGTTTTGCCTCCATGTATGTCTTTGTGAGGGTGTTGGATCCCCTGGAAATGGAGTTACAGACAGTTGTGAGGTGCCATGTGGGTATTGAACCCATGATCAGTGCTCTTAACCACTGAGCCATCCCTCCAGCCCCCAGCAGACTGAATTCTAACAGCACTTTTTCCCTTGGCATTCCAGTCTGTCCCCAGTAACAGAGAGGTAACAAAAGATACATAATCACTCCCTGGGGTCTCCATGACCTTGCCCCAGGGAGGTCCAGGTATGCTACAGTTAGTTAGTTACCTGTGAGAGCGACCAAGTGCGGTAGGCAGAGTCGGTTGGCTAGGACTATGAGCTTCATATCATCCAGGTCTGGGCTGGAGGTGAACATGCCCGTGTAGAGGTACTCCAGCACAGCCCTCATGCAGCTCTTGCTTGTGTACGGAAACACCACCTAGGGTGGGAAGAAGCAAGCAGGTGGCATGATGTCTAGGGTGGCCCAGAATAACTCAGTCCTGGCAGGTGAAGACCTAACTTGGTAGGTTGGTCGCCTCCAGCCAACTAGCCTCCTGGGTTGTTCCTGAATCCTCTTAGGGAACCCCCATAACCTTGGCACCTAGCCTCGGTGACATGACAGCATTAGTGAGTGGGGCTCTGGTGTCTTCTAAAGGGACCTAGATTCTTGGCATCTTCTTGAAGCCACTCTAGCAGGAGGATGCTCGAAGGGGCCATTTGGGTCAGCTACTCCCATGAGCCCCCGGTGCCTGCAGGAAACAGCTAAAGTGGGCTACGGAATGAGCAAAGGGAACCAGCTGGCTGCTCAGTGCTGCTGCTTGGGGCCTCTGGGATCTCTTCAGAGCAGCAGGGAAACAAAAACTGCTTTCTCATCGGATGCGAGTCTCTCTGGACTTGCTGGGAATTGGGTGGCGATTTAAAATGTGTCTATGGTGCTGAGAAATGCCCAGGGCACACAGGCCCCTGGGGCTTCAAAAACTCCTGGCCCCATATCCTGTATGTTCAACTCCTGCTCCCACTTCAGAGACCAGGTCAGCTCTTCACCACTCTGCTGCTCTTTCCCTACGCACTTCCTTTCCAGAAACCTTAGGAAGCTCATATTCTAATTCACCCAACGTAATCGCTGGTTGCTCTTAGTTCAGGTTTTCAGTCAAGGATCTGGTTGGGAACTGGGCAGGGGGACAGTCAGGCAGGAGTCAAAGACCATGTCCCTGCTCTCCAATGAAATTACAACTGGCTGGGAAAACCACATGGGGATACTTTGAATTGTATACATCTGTACAAAGTAGAATCCTGTGAACTAACTGTAAGATAGAGTGATGGGCAGCTGACGGTCCAGGAGACAGAGATGATGGAAAACAATAAGGGCTGTGCCTGTACTGCTCTGCTTGTCTGAGAGAATGGAAAAGAGGGAACAGACCCAGGAGAACATTTCTAAGGACTGGTCAACAAACCTCTTCCAACTCTAGGCTGAGTTGGTTCCTGAGAGGGTGGCAAATGAGAAGATGGGCACTGACCAGAGAGAAAGGGGTCTATATTCATAAATACCTTTATACTCTGTATTTGATGCTCTGACACCTAGAGCCTGGTTGGTCGTTTCCAGACTAGCCAGCCAGTTCCTAGAGCTAGCAAAGGAGCTACCTGCAAGTGGGGCCCCTCGGCTACACTCACACCACCGTCTACCATTTCCTGCTCCAATCGCTCCAGAGCCAGGTATCAGACAACCAGGATACCCCCACCTCCACTTCCTGGCTGACTGTTCATTTTCCTTGTGTGGCCCCACAGGGTACATTCCCACTCCTTGAGATCTATATCAAACCCCTTTTCAATGCCATTATCTCCTGATGTATTGGTCTCCCCATAGCTCAGTAAAAATAAAGCCTTTCTTCGAAGACACTGCTGACTTCAGCTTGGATCACAGGCTTTTCTAGTGGTTCTGTGTGTCTCAGGAAAGCAGCAGAGTTTAATTAAGGAACCAAAGACCTGTCAATCCTGAGTTCTAGACCTACCCTCTTTTTTCTAGTTGCATAACTTTGTACAAGTTGCATAACTTCCCAGGGCATCCCTTTCCTGCATAGAACAGGATTGGCTTGCTATATGTATATCTGGGTAAATTAAATGAGATACATATGGAAGAGTTTTCCAAACTACTAAGATAGTGTTATTCCCTCTCCTGGAATACGGAAAAACTCTTGGCTATTTGAAGCATCTCATAAACTTGTTTTGAGACCATCAATGTACTTAGAACATGACCTATGCTGAGGAAAGTACCATTAATGATGCTGTCTCAAATTCAAAGATGTAAATGTTTCTCCCATCCTCTCCCTTCTCATCTCCAGCCTCACCTCCCTAGTAGAACTCTCCACAAATGGTCCCCCAAACATGGCAGCCATCCAGTCACAGCTGGAAATCAGTAGGGGTTTATGGGCGCTGATGGTCCCATCATCCAGGATGAAGGTCACATCTGTCCAGGAGGAGAAGAGGCATCATGTAAGGACACAGTGGGTATGCCGGAGAAATCAGCCCCAAGGGCAGTCACTGGGTCCTGACTACCCAACTGACTTCTGGAGCCATGCGATATGTGTAATAGGCCATAGACAATCAAGCTACTGGCTTGAGCAGGAGGACAATCGTATTTCCAGGGCACTGGGAGCTGAAGACAACTCCCAATACTAACGGGCCCCTCAGAAAGTTTCCTCGAAAGAACCCCTTATCTTCTAAGCATGCCCCATACCTGAGAAGGTGCCCTTTGCCAAGCACTCCTTCACCCGGTTGGTCCGGCGAACATGGAAGGCCTTGGTGATCTCCTGATTCATGAAGGCCTCGTTGTTGAGAATGTTGGCTACCATCATACGTAGATCAAAGACCTCTAGCAGCTCGGCAATGTGGGCGATATGCATGAGGTCCCGCTCATTTTCACCCAGCTCCCCTGTGTACAGGTACTTGAGAACAGCCCGGAAGGGCCCCGGCTGAATGGAGTTATCCATCTTCACCACCACCATCAGCCGGGATTTGAAGGTCAGAGGATCCTCTGCCATCTCTTCCTGGATACTCACAAAAGCTCGGCTCCAGGAAGAAAGCACACGCCCCCTGCCTGGCAGGTACCCTGTTCCATTACCCCTTAAGATGCCATCACTAGTTGAAGCCCGGAGGCCAGCAGGACCAGAGCCCCCAGCCTCGTCCACACTCTCACACACATCAAAGCTGGCTGCCCGAAGCAGGAAGTCCCGCCCATGGTGGTGATGGTGATGATGGTGGTGTTGCTCAGGGTGGCTCCGGTGGTCCTCTGGGCGGGGGCCCCCTGGCCCTGAGGGGCCCCCCAACTCCTCCTCACTCAGGTCCATGAGGAACAAGTCATAGAATTTGGAGGAGGAGGTGGAGAGGTAGATCTTGTGGGCAAAGATGCGCACGCGCTCCTGCAGCACCAGGATGACATCCGCACAGAGCGGGTCTTCCAGGAGGTGGGCGGGGCACTCCTCGCTGCTGGAGGGGGGGTCGGGCACCACGATGATGGGGGGTGGTGGCTTCGGGGGCAGGAAGGGTGCTTGCAGTAGAGGCCGCTGCACATTGCGCAGATGAGATTTCCAGAACTGCAGGTGACGGCGGGAGATGAGTGCAGCCCGGATGGCATTGTCAAAGACGTCCTTGATACCAAACTGGGCCACCACACTGGTCTCGTAGTAAGGGATCCCCAGCTCCTTGGCCACTTCCCGACCCTTCTCTGGAGGGAGGATCTCATTAGGCTTAATGGGCCTGGGGGCGTGCGAGAAGGGAAAACAAACTTGTGTTGGTGGTGGAGTGAGCCTGGCCATTCTGTCACAGGCTGGAGGGTCTACTCAGCATCTGCCCTTTAATTTACTCACAGATGTCCCTTGGTATCTGAAGGGGATCAGTCCCAAGATCCCCCTCAGATTTCAAATCTATGGAAAACCAAGTCCCTCATATAAAATGTCCTTATAGTTACATAACCTGTGTATATCCGTACTATTTCTTTTAAATCTCTTCTAGATTATTTATGCAATATAAGTGCTATGCTACAGTTCAGTGTTTCTCAACCTGTAGGTCACAACCCATTGGGGGGTCAAATGAGCCTTTCACAAGGATCACCTAAGACCATCAGAAAACACAGCTATTTACATTATGATTCATAACAGTAGCAAAAATTCAGTTATGAAGCAGCAACAAAAATAGCATGAGGAACTGAAATGAGGTGTCGCAACATTGGGAAGGTTGAGAACTACTGCTTTGGTTGCTATCATGCTTCATTTAGGGAATAATGACAAGGGCAAGGGGAGTCTGGACATTCCCATTCACGTTGGCTGAACCCACAGATGTGGGACCACTATATGAAGAGCCAACTATATTAGCATCACAGAAATATAAGGCCCTTTCATACAAATATTCTCACGCATGTCTTTTCCTTATGCCTTTCTTTTCAGAACATAGCACAGCATTGTTCCCAAAGTGGTACGCAATGACACCGAAGGATGAATGAATGAATGAATGAGTGAATGAATGAGCATGCTTGTTATTGACCTGATGTGAATTTGCTCCAAATGGTTGGAGAGATGTAAGGGTCAGTGGGACTCCTTTAGGGGTGAGCAGGGAGGCATAGAGATGCCCTGCCCCCATGCCTCTTCCCTCTCCCTGAGTACCTGCACCCCTACCTAGCCAAGGGTCTCCTGGCCCTGTTAACGGCTTCCAGGTCAGCATAGCGCAGGTCCAGCTGGCAGCCCACCAGAATGACAGGAGCTCGGGGGCAGAAATGCTTGATTTCTGGGTACCACATGGTCTTGACATGGTGGAGGGAATTGGGGTTGGCAATGGAGAAACACAGAACCACCACATCAGATCTGGGGGGAGAGAGAGAAAAGTTACAGGCAGGGAAAGTTGGTGGGGGTTACCTGACCCTGAAAGAGAAAAACATGTCTGCCTGGTCCTGTGCCCTCAGCTACAGCCTACCCCATCTTATGGACCTATTTTCACCATCTTCCACACAATATAAATTAATTGTGACTGTAATTTATGTAGGCATTTTAAAGCACAAAAATTCATTTGGCCTCATAGCTATCTTATGAGTTAAAAATTATCATTTGGAGTCTGAGGATATGGCTAAGAGGGTAAATGATTTCTATGCAAGCATGAGGATGTAAGTTCAGATCCTTAGTACTCATACATACACATAAAAAGTCAAGCATTGCTGTAAGCATTTGTATCTCCAGCATAGAGATAGGGGGGTAGGCATCCCTGGGCTCTCTAGCCAGCAAGACTAGCAAAAAACGGTGTGCTCTGGATTCAGTAAAAAGCTCTGTCTTGCCAGGTGTGGTGGCCTATGCCTTTAATCCCAGCACTTGGAAGGCAGAACAGGTGTATCTCTGTGAGTCCAAGGCCAGTCTGGTCTACAATGCAAGTTCCAGGATAGTCAAGGCTGTTACACAGAGAAACCCTGTCTGCGGTGGAGGGAGGCCCTGTCTTAAAAAAACTAAAATAGAAGAAGACATCCTGATGTCCTCTAGCCTCCACAGTTACATACAAGTGCAAGACTCCCTTCCTGCCAATTTGCACACACATGAACATGTGTATGCCAATATACACATCTACACACACACACACACACAAATATTATTATTTTGCCAGGCATGGTGGTATAGGCCAAATATTTGGGAGGCTGAGGCAGAACACTTCCAGTTCAAAGTTGCCTGGGCAACAGTTAGTTCAAGGCCAATCTGGGCAACCGAAGAAGACCTTGTCTCAAAATAAAGTTCTTTGCTTGTTTGTTTTGCTTTACAAAGGACTAGAGATATATGTAGCTCAGTGGTAGAGCACTTGCCTATGATGCATGAGGCTCTAGGTTCAATGGCCAGCATTGAAAGAAAAAAAAAAAAGGGAAGAAAGAAGTGTTCACCATCTCACAGTGAGAAAAGTCATTCCAGAAATGCTCAGAGCCAGGAGGTTGCAGAGCTGGAACTCAAAACGGGCCTCCAAGCCCACGATGCCTCCAGTCCCAGGGAAAACTCACCGCCATATCTCCTCCACTCTTTTCTCACAGTTTCTACTGCAGAGTTATTCAGTTCCTTAGAACGGAGTGAAAACTCTCCTGCATGACTCCTTACCTTCCATAAGCAAATCGCCGGTCTTTGTGGTGGTCGCCAAAGGTGTCCCAGAGGCGCAGGGAGACGCTGACATCATCTACCACATCTCGGGAGCGTTCGAGCACCTGAGCACGGGGAAGACAGGCCAATGGTTCATAGGGGCAGATGCCAGCTCAACCCTGATGACGAGGACAGGGCTGGCACATGTGTCTCACACAGCTTGAAGTCCACCTGAAATCTCTGGAGACTCAATAATGAGGGTAGTCTCCATAAGAGACCTCAAGAGAGCACACTAACTGTTGGAGAAGGAAATGTTATTACTTTGGGCTATGATACCCAGCCAAAGCTAGATTCCTAGCCCCCCGCTAGGAATTTGTGCTGGCTAGTTTTATGTCAACTTGATATAAGCTAGTCATCTGAAAGGAGGGAACCTCAATTGAGAAAATTCTTCTATAATATCCAGCAACAGGAGATCATTTTCTTAGTGATTGATGGGGGAGGGCCCAGCCCATTGTGGGGGTGCCAATCCTGGGCTGGTGGTCATGGGTTCTATAAGAAAGCAGGCAGAGCAAGCCAGGGGAATCAAGCCAGTAAGCAGCTCTCTTCCATGGCCTCTGCATCAGCTCCTGCCTCCAGGTTCCTTGAGTTTGTGTCCTGATTTCCTTAAGGTATGGAAGTGTAAGCTAAATAAACTCTTTCCTCCCTAATTTGCTTTTGGTCATGGTGTTTCATCACAGCAGTAGAAACCCTAACCAGGACACCACTGAAAACACAAATGGCCAAAGATTTGTCCACCTGGGGGTGGACTTCCTTCAGATCTCTCTCAAGGGGCTCCTTCTACTTCATCCACCTCTGCCCCACCCCTAGGGGGCTCTCATGAGCTGTGGAGACACCAAGCTACAGTTCAAGATACATAGCATGGACACCCAACCCAGTGGCCTTTGTGGTCTTACCTCCTGGCATACTCGATACTGGTCAATGGCCCACACTGTGGGCACATGGGTGGCAAGAAGCTGGTACTGGGTGAGGGTGGCATTGCAGGCCCGGGCACAGATGAGCCTGGTTTTGCCCACGGCGTTGTCCCCCACCACCACGCACTTGATGGTCTCTACGTTTGGCCTTTCATAATCCATGTCAGAATCCATTAATTGGGACCTGAGGGGCAGTAAAGGTGGTATCAGGACAGTTTGGCATACTATACCTGAGGACCAGGGTCAATGTAAGCAGCCCTCCTCCACTGGGTCTGTGGCCTTGTCAAGCATTAGCGCTGATGAGAAGAGAGAGTGGGCAATATTCAGGGAAGTAGCTTTGCAGGGGCTATAGGAGACAGGAGCTCATTCAGGCCGAGTAGTACAATGCCACCAGATGGATCTCTTCTCTCCCTCTGGTCCCCCACCATCCTGCAGCTGGGCTTCTGGATGAAGGCAGTCTGTGAGAGATCCCAAGGCAGAATCTGCCCTGTGCCTGGCCCCATCCCCACTCCCCCAGAGACAGGGAATCTGCCTGGTAGCTCTCTCATCCTCTTCTCTCCTCCTCTTCCCTGGGGCTGTAGCAGCAGCAGAACAAACAGCTGAGAGAAGCAGACTTGGGGCCAGGTCCCCACCCCTTCCCAGCATGCTCCAATGCAGAGTCACTTTAAAATTTAATGGACATGTCAGGGCTGGGCAGCAGCTCTCCCCTGGCCCTTTCATATGGTAAATTTCCAAAACTCAGCCTACTCACCTCCATCCTCCTACCCGATCCTCTTTTATGGGCTAGGAGAGGTTTTTCTGGCAGCCTCTCTGAGTAGGGGGCCTTCTATGTAGCTGCAGAATCCACAAGCCTCCCCTCCTTATTCTGTTTCTGTCGCGTTGCCCACCTGTCTGCTCAGCTGAAGACTTATGTTCAGATAGGGATAGAGGGAGTCCTAGCCCAGAACAATACACTCTGTGGTCCATGGGTCTTCCCATCCCCTATCTGGGCTACCTGCAGTATCCCACAACCAGCTCTCAAGAGTAAGGTCTACCTCCTTCCAACTCCTACAGAGGAAGGGGCTTAGAATGGAGTTCCACTTCTCTGGCTATCTGAGGAGAAGCTAGACAAACTGTGTGGGGAACTGGGTGCTGGAGGAAGTTGAGAGTCAAGATTAGCCTAAATTTCTGCCTCAGTTTCCTTTGGTAACAGGCAGAGAAGTAGTATGTCCATCCCAGAGAGTAACTGATCAGATGAACAGATAGAGGCACTTCCGTAGTTAAAGTGTCGTATCAGTGGTTAAAAAGCTGAGGCCCTCAGTTTGAGGAGACATTGAGGACAGTCTCTCCATTGGCATCCATCCTTCTAGAAGGGGTAAACAGGATGGGAAGGGAGGAGGGGCAGGGTAGGTGCGCTTAGGGCTATCAGTTCGCCCCTGCTCATTCCTGTGTACAGCAAGACGTCTCTGGGCTAGAACCACCTGGAGAAGCCTTCCTAGGTACAGGAAGGCTGAGCACAGAGGAGTCCTGGAGGCTGCCCCGGCACTTTACTGCTGAGCCATCAAGTCCAGAGCCAAGGCACCAGCGGCAGCAAAGGAGCTCTGTCCCTGGCAGGCTGTAACTAGATGCTAGCATGCAGGAATGCAGAACTGAAATACTCAAGTAACATGGCAACTGGGATTTGTGCAAGTGAATGCAGCTCAGCAACCTAAGCAAAAAGTGCAGCAAGGACTTTTCAATGAGACAAGGATTCAATGACTCCTCCTTGGAATTTTACAGGATCTGGACCCTTCCACTCCAAGGGGTCACCACCAAGTTCTGACCCAGTCTGTATGGCAACTACCTGCATCATTCCTTCTCCCTCCTGGTCCTGTCCACCAGGCAACTGTTATAGCTTCCTCTCCTTACTACTGAACTGGGAACATAAATTCTTCCTTGACAGTTCCTAGTCTCAAGTTAGACAGCTGAGGGAGGTGTGGGCACCAGGAAGAGACAAGTAGGTGTGGTTTCTGCTTTATGGGATGGATAACAAAAGAGAGAGAGAGAGAGAGAGAGAGAGAGAGAGAGAGAGAGAGAGACAGAGACAGAGACAGAGAGAGAGAGAATCTTACCTATGAAGACAGAAACCCAGAGGGCAACAGAACTTACTTCCAGCATGTAGGTCTGGAATCAAATGGGAGAGGGATGCACAGAGCAGAGGTCTGGGATCTTCAATCAGGGCATGCCCAAGTTCAGCTGTTTTATGACATAACACACACACACACACACACACACACACACACACACACACACTTTTTTGATTTTGCTACCAGAGTTCAGGAGGGGACAGCAAGCCAACAGGTAGGAGAGTGATAAAACACTAGCCATGGGTTTAGGAAGCAGCCTGCCTAAATTGCTATCTAGCCTGAACACTCCAGCCCATCCCTCTCTGGCTGCCCCTTCACACTTCTCTTACATATTCACCAACTGGCTCTCCCCTTTTTTGGTCATCATCATCCCCGTTGCAACAGCAAGCTTCATTGTCCTATCTAGAAAGAGGCAAACCTCCTCACTTTTTGTGGAGATCAGTCTCTACCTCCAGAAAATGGGTATGACGGTGTTGGAAAATTTTTTTTGAGTTTTGGTAAATTCATGCCAAGAAGAGCCTGGGTGAAAGGAGGTATTTGTCTTCTTATGTAATATTGTATTATATAATGCTAGATTGCATATCATGTGTAATTATATCTCTCTTTAAGATACAAGCTGGCCCAATTAAGCCAGGAGAACTTTTGTCTAATCAGGCCTATCTTATTAAACAAGGATCCTGTCATGGAGACAGCATGCCAACATTAATATAATCTCTGCTCTAGAATATTACTACTGTCTGGATTGCTGCTGATGCACGATGATACAAACCACTCAGTGAACTGCCCCACTGCCCCTCTGGCACTCTTTTCTCCAGTGACTCAAGACTCTTTGTTCACAACTGTCTCAATCCCATTCCTTCAGAGACTCCTGACCAACCTCCACCCTGCCCTGGCTATCACAACCTCCAGTTCACTCCACTCCTTGACAACCCCAAAGTCACTGGTATTTCCTCGCTCAACTCTTGTCCCCAAATCACCACTCCCCTCTTCACAAACAGCCTTCTGCACAACCGCTTTCCCAGTTCTTTGTACTCTGTCCAGGACAGATCCGAAGGTGTGCTCAGATTATCCACAAACCTCAAGGGCTCCCATTCCCACCCCCGCACTCCTACACACACTCTTTGCAGAGCTCAAAAGCCCCCCTTTCCCTCCCACAGCTGATAGGAGGCTTGTTCATCTGTGGCTGCCCTAGTCTGGTTGTCAAGGAAACGACAATCTCCCTGGGAGCCTGGCTTGTCTCCTAGCAACCAATATCCCACATCCTGCATCTTACAAAAAAAAAAAAAAACCGTGAAAGGAAGGAAAATCGGGAAAATGAAAGTAAAAATTAAGGAAGATGGATAGAAAAGAAGAATCTGGAGGAGAGGAGCAAAGGAAGGCTGGATTCGGAATTAAAGGAGCTCCCACTGGGGAAGCTGACATTGTAATATGGGCGAAGGTGGAGGGGTGGATCCTCCCCACGCAGAAAACGTAAAGCAAGGCCCAAAGGGATCTTGAATGATCAGGTTAACAAAAACAAAAGCCTAAATACAGGATAAACCTTTTCAATCCTAGGATACTCGAACATTAACAAACAAAGCTCAATATTTCCACCAGTAGTTTGCCAAAACTCAGCTGGACAGACCACAGTGGAGTTGACTTCAAAGAAACATCTCCACAACCGTCAGCAAACACCCCAATTGCACTGGCTTAAAAAAAAAAATGAAATCATGAAAAAATGTACACCTCTACCACTCCTAATCTCTTATTTTTCCACCTGACATGCTGCCCAGCACATACAATTTTTTTAAATGAAATAGAGAAGGGGGAGGGGCACGCCACGCCAATGCAAGACATATATACTTTTCCCTAAAAACACCCAAGAAAGGTTAGTTTCTCTCTCCTCTGAACCAAGGAGCCTCAGCAAGAGCCCAAGGGAAGAGTGGTGCCCGGGGGAAGGCAGGAGGGGCACAGGCAGGAGAGGGGAGGGCGCTGAAGGCTGAGCCAAGGCGAGGCGGCGCGTTTGCAGAGGCTGCTTGCAACCCGGCCATAACAGAAATCAATCATGTACTTACACCACTACATGTGACGGGGTAATTTCTAGTGTAGGGAACACATCTCTTCCTGCTAAGCACGCTCATTTTAGTGAGATGTCTGGGGTCACTCCTCGCGTGCAAGTTGGGGCGCCGCCGACGCAGCTGCTCTGTGCTGGGGATCCAGCCTCCTGGGGTCCCGGTTCGGGTGCGATCAGAAACTCTGGCACAGGAGCCCAGGCCGGACCGCGGCGCGTGAGCAGCCTCGCGCGCTGCACTGCAGCCACTGCCTCTTCCGGATCAGCATCTCCGCGCGCCCCGGGCGCCCCC